ATCAATCATTTATAATTAGCTGTAAATGACAGTCAGTAGAATGCATTTTGACACATCATACATACATGATGCAGAATCACACTGGTCATGTAATTATATATGTACATAAGATAATAATGTCTGATTCATTCTGCTATCCTTCTTACTCCTGTACCCCCTCTCCTTTCTTCACTCCCCTCTGACCAATCCAAAGTATCTTTCTTCTTCCCCAACCTACCTCCCCTCCTTATTATGAGTTATCATCCACATATCAGAGAAAACATTCAGCATTTGGTTTTGGGAGATTGACTTATTTCACTTAGCATGGTATTCTGCAACTCCATCCATTTATCTGCAAATGCCATAATTTCATTCTTCTTTAAGGCTGAGTAACATTCCATTGTGTATATATATACACCACATTTTCTGTATCTATTCATCTATTGAAGGGCACCTAAGTTTGTTCTATAGTTTAGCTATTGTGAGTTGAGCTGTTATAAACATTGATGTGGCTGTAACTGTAGTATGCTTATTTTAAGTTCTACTGCCTACCCTTTAATTGTTTATTTTCTTATTGGTGAGTTTTAAGAGTTCTTTGTATATTTTTGGATACCAGGCCTTTATAAAAATGTGTTTTGCAAAGTTTTCTCATAGTGTATAGAATTCCTTCTAATTCTTATGCCAGTATCTTTCCCAGAAGAGTTTTTAATTGAAATGCAGTCCATCTATCAAGTTTTTTTCTTTTAGAATATGAGCTTTTGGTGTTGTTATTAAAAAATATAAAACCCAAGTTCACCTAGATTTTTTAATATGTTGTTTTAGGAGAGTTTTATAGTTTTACACTTAAAATTTAGTTATATGATTAATTATACATGGTTGCATTTTGATATGCAAAAAATCACATTAATTGTGGCTTCAGTTTCTCATTCATAGGAAAGTATAAATTTGTCACAATAAAAATGTCTATTTTGTTTAGGCTATTTGAGAGAATATATGTGATCCTTGAGAGAGTAGATTCTAATTCCAAGTGGGCAAACAAGGATCAATTCACTTTCTTAGCATCAGTTTTATTATATGCAAATAAGGATAATATGGTATGTCCAACTTCCTCATATGTACTTTTAAGATCAAGAATTTTACAAAAATTTCATCAACGCTAAAAATACTTTACAAATGTTAAAGAGCAATTAGAAAATTCAAAAGTGATCATTAATGGAAATCCCAGACTTCCTTTACTCAGTTAAATAGCTAACATTAAACTGATAGCCAGGTAACCAACATAGAAGAAACATGCTAGTGAAGCTCAAGTCACAACTAAAATGTTTGATGATTAATGTCACAAAGGCCTTAAATCTATGATTATCATTGAAAACAATGATGAATTAGTAGAACATAATTATAATTGCACTATCTTTCTTAGGTTATCATCACATTGGGTTCCTACTGAATGACATGGTTACATGAAGATAGTAACTAGAATAGAAGTGGATATAATTGGTGAAGCATACACAAATCAAGTCACTTTAACAGAATAGTTTAAGTATCTGATCACTTTGAGGAAGAGGAAGTTACAGCTTATGAGTTATGACACACTTTATTGTCCCTCTTATGTAACAGATTTACATATTTCATGTAGATCCTAAGTGATTACATTGCCATTCGGATATATTACCCTCACTGAAAATTCCAGCTATTGGTCAGTAGTGGAAAACGGAAATTTTCAGCCTTATAATGTTAAAATAAAGTAATTTAAAAACTTAAATGTAGACAAAATCACCAAGACTGAGAAAAGTTATAAAATAAACTAGAGATATGATTGTGCACATTAAAAGATAACCCTTAACTTTTAGAGTAGATGAATTTTTAGGCATGACAGAGTATATATAAATAATTCCATACTGAGAAAAAGCCAAAATTATGTTATTTTCCTCCCCCCTTTCTATTTTCTCTTTTCATCCTGATTTTTCCTGTTCTTGTTTCTTTTCTCTTCTACATCTTTCTTTTTCTTTTCCCTCTTTTTCTTCCCAATAAAATGGTAATTTGTTCTCTCTCCCTCTCTCTCCATCTTCCTTCCTCCCCTCCCCTGTCTTTGCCCCACCTCTCTTTCTCTCCCTTTCTCTCTCTCACACACACCCTAAAATATGAGGCTTGGATTGAATAAGAGTATGAAAATATGATCAGACCTAATAAACTACAAATATTAATGCCCAATTCAGCCCAAAGATGCAAAGGTCTATCTTTTACATTCCACCTCTTTATTAATTCTAAGGGTTATTTTATTGGCAGAAAGAAAATAGTAATTACCCTAACCACTCTTGTTATAGTAGTACTTTGAACATAACAAATCATCTTAGTCTTGCCTTTGAATTCATTTAAGACCTTTTGGACTGGATTATATTTTTTTGTTTATAAATAGCTAAGATGATAAATTTCCAAAATGTTCTAATAATTGTTTAAATAATATGGTTGAATTTGTATTCACCTTGGTAGTGACAAATTGTTTGACTAATTATACCAAGTGTGCAGGATTGCAAACTGCATCCATCACACTGAAAATAGAATTCATGACAAAATATCCATTCAGCACCAAGGTTGGTGATGAACCACCAAACTCTTAGCTATGAAGGTAGAATGTCAGTGTCATCATTAAATTAGATGGTGGTTAATCTTTGAAGGTCATGACTGAGCTATATCTGCATACAAAATGCAGTTTGTTATAAAGTGTTGCTCCTCATCTGCTTTAAGTGGACCTGTGTTCACAGTAACCCTCACCTTCACTAGCAGTGGCTCAGGCCTTGCGGCATCCACAAAGGAGAGTCCGTACTGGGTAGAGGCTAATGAAAGAGTTGCAATTGTTCATTTGATCTAATATAATTTAAGCAAAGACAAGATGGGGTTCTGAAGAAGAGTTGTTTTCCTTCTGTAAAGGTCCTATGCACAATCATATTTTAACAAGATTCCCAATTTGCATTATGAAAAGCTGGCCGACTTTCCTTCATAAGGCCATTTACGGCACTTGCCCTTTTGGTAACATTACTATGTGTTTGTATTGAAGCCCATTATTAAATGAATAAATAGCAGGGAAATACAATATTAGATTAAAGAAAATGTTGGACTTTCAAATGGCAAACAAATGTGTTAAAAAGTCTTGTTATTTAAATGTGGCTCTGTGGGCCTCTGGCAGACTAAATGATGTCAGAGAAAACCTGTGAAACCTAGATAGAAAATTTCATATGTGGCCACATGGGGATCACATCAAATTTATGGAAGTAGGGTACACGTTTTTCTGCCAGGTAGAGAATTACTTCCAGCATGTTGGTGTATTTCTATCTACAAGAGAAACTACTTATGGACCACTAAGACATTCTAGAAAACAATTCCAATACATCTATTGTCCTTGTATCATCTCCCAATCAATCTAAGTCCCCCAGTCTTCACTCTCTTCCCAACAAGAAACATCTCTTTGGATGCTATGTTTTTATCCACAAACTGAAGTCTTTCCTATAAAAATAACAGTGGGCTACTGTGAGATTTAGCAAATGAACGAAGGAAGGATGCGAAAGACTTCCCTCTGAGTCTTGTTGGCTATTTGCCATTCTCTGAATGGTGGCTGATACAAAATCAGGGCTCAATTTTATGCCAATTTTGTGCCCCAGTTAGCAGTGCTAATTGGGGCACACAAGTAAATTGCACTCTGCCCTGTGGAAATTTTCAGTTAGTCAACTAAATCAGAAAATCATTGAGAGCATTAATCCATTGCGCAGTCACTACTTAATTAGGTGCAAAATCTATGGTCCCTCCAGGAAGGACAAAGTTCAGACATAGGATCTTAATGATCAGTTGTTTGGAATTCGATCTATTTGGCGTTTTTACTTTTGTCATACACTGAGTTTGAAAGTAAGTATGTGTGCTTGTGCAGAGTAGGATCACCAGGTTGTTTTAGTAGGAATTAACAATCGATGTATTATTAAAGTAGACAGGAGTAAAGGTCATTCAGTTTCTCTCACACTTGAAAGACATAAATTCTCTGAGAGGAAAGAATAGACTGACTTTACACAAAAGAACATAAATACATTGATAAATTTAATAACAAATGTTCCATATTTCCTAGGATCAAGTTTTAGTTTAATTCAACCTCATGATGTTTTGAGTTACTAAATGATATTTGTGGAGAATCTGCTATAACATTCATAGTATGCAGGGCTGGGGTTGTAGCTCAGTGGCAGAGCTCTTGCCTTGTACATATGAGGTACTGGGTTTGATCCTCGGCACCACATAAAAATAAGCAAACAAAATAATAAAGATAAAAAAAAGAAAGAAAACTTTAAAAAACCTCCATAGTACTCAACCTAAAGATTGGAGGGGAGGGGAGGGGGGATAGTAGAGGATAGGAAAGATAGCAGAATACAACAGTCGCTAGTATGGCAATATGTAAAAATGTGGATGTGTAACCAAGTGATTCTGCAATCTGTATACGGCGTAAAAATGGGAGTTCATAACACACTTGAATCAAATGTATGAAATATGATATGTCAAGAGATTTGTAATGTTTTGAACAACCAATAATAATAAAAAAGGAAAATGTTTCATTAGATCTCCCATAGGTCATGGCTTTTAAGGTATATGCATTTTCCTAGGATATAGAAAAGTGGTCCGAAAATGTTATTGTTACCCCAAAACTATTGTTTTAGGTAAAAGTTTAAGTCAAACTCAGTTTAAATACAGTTTCAGTTCTAAAATTGGAATTTCAGCTTGGAATAAATGAGTTTAAAAACTTTACTTTATCCTTTAATACAGTGTAACGATTTGTTTTTATTGTGATGTGAAAATTTGCTTTTAGCTCTCGAACAGGAACAGCTGAAATCTTAAGGAAACTAACTTTGGCAAAGATGACTGTGAGAATAAAGCCATATTTTCTTCAATTATTACGGTTTTTAAAAAATTAACTGACCTCTTTATTAGAATTCTTAATGAAGGATCTAACTGACAGTTGTAGAAAGAATTTTCAATTTTGAGCATGAGGATCCAGTTATGACATTGCCAAACGCAACTTCATTTTTCCCTGTCTCGAGTCAGAAGCTTCCCTGCTGGTATGATTTTGTCTCTTTTCCTACCTTTCTGAACTTTCTTATCTATTGCTTTGCTCTTGTTTTCTTCCTCATATTCTTTACCTGGACTTCTATGCTCTTTAACTTAAAGGAGTCACACACTGTAACCCACGATGTCTCTCCTGTATTCTAGTTTGCAAACTGCAAATTCCTATTTCCAAATAAATGTTCAAACAGTATCTCACAATAAAAAAAAAAACATTATTCTAACACCCTGCATTTTCCCTCCAAACTTTGTTTTGACTCCTAAAATTCCAATATTTGTCTCTTTTACTTTCCTTTCTGAAGTTCATTCCTTGTTTAACTGCTTTTGCTGTCCTTCATTCCTTGCTTTCTAGAAAAATCTTTTAATCTTTAACAAGATTTTCTTCTTGTTTTTCTCCCCATGGATCTCTTATACATTGCTTTTACACCCAAAGATTTCTCTTATTCTGAGTTATGAACTGCTTATACCAAGCTTGGACTGTTGATTCTAATGTGCTTCTCCACCACTGATATTTTTCTTCTGTAATGATTTCCTACAAAGTTGTTTTTTCTTGAATTTTGCCAAACTATATCTAAGATCACATCACACTTTGGTTGATTTACTGCCCATTGCCTCTGGGTGTGTTTTGGAAGTCCATCTAGCCCTCAATCCCACATTCTGGCTACACCCCATATTTCCTACCATATGACCCACACCTTTTTCTATAAACAAGCAAAGGAAATAGCCTCAATATGACCAAAGGGCATTCTCCAAAACAGTGAGATCTGAAACTTGTCATTTTGCTTTACCATCTCTGACTGATCAATGCCTTGTTCTTTCTTTAGTTCATAGAAATATTTCTCTTGGTTCCTTCTTAGTTGGACTTTTATCAATGATTGAAGGATGTGGTGATTTGAGGAGAGAAACCCTCCTCCTATTTTGGGCCTGCACTATTAAAGCCCCTCTTCCTAGGAGACAGTACGAAAGCATTTTCGAGTGTCAAGAAATAGACACTAGGGCTGGGGATGTGGCTCGTGTGGTGGTGCACTCGCCTGGCATTCGTGCGGCCCAGGTTCGATCCTCAGTACCATATACAAACAAAGATGTTGTGTCTGCCAAAAACTAAAAAAAATAAATATTAAAAAAATCTCTCTCTCTCTCTCAAAAAAAAAAAAAGAGAAATAGACACTATTTAGAAAGGTTTAAAATTCCTAAATTTCCACTCAAGATGGTCTAAATTATGATCAGTTGCTGCTTACACTATGGCATCATTGTTCTGATAATTGGGTGTTTTTCTCTGAACATTTTCAAAGTCTGAGTCGACCACTGTTTCACAATATCTCGTACCTTTATCACATTTTATATCTGAGATTACAGACAACAACAGCATCTAATTGCACCTTTCCCTTGGTCAGCTGGGACCCAGACTAGAAAGTTTCTTCTTGTTACCTAGGTCTCTGGTCATCAGAAAGATTATCAAAGAGCAAAACTCTCTTCATACAGTGCAAGGTGTTAAAACCAGAGAGTACATTGTGTTGTTGTTCTACCTTCCATTTCTCTTAGAAAGACCACTAGAGGGTTCAGTTGTGTTCCCTCTGTGTGATGCACTCTTAATGACAGTGTAACTGGTGTGAATGTTCACAGGTGAAGGACATGTCAACTCCTGGGAAATAGTCAAGAGAAACCATGGATAGACTGCAGTAGAACCATACATACAGGGGCTTCCTGTACATTACCTCTATGAAAGCCTCTCTCCTCCCTTACAATTAGCTAATACTCGGAGAGAATTTGTCATATGGTACCTTATAGGTATTTGGGTGTGTGCCTTTTCCTAAAATTGTATTATAAGTTGGCAGAGAACAGAGACCTGGCCTTATACATTACAGCATTTAGAATAGTGATTGAACATGGAAATCACTCATTGCTTGCTGAAAGAATGAAGCTATCCCCTTATGACATTGAAATGTCCTATGTCTTCAGTTTGTCCACTCAAATGACAGTTGTGTTACAGCCAAATGCAACCAGGACTTCCAACGAGTGTAGCTGGGTTTGAATCTCAACCCTGTCCTTCCTTAGCTTTGAGAACAGCTTAGGAAACACTCAGAACTTAATTTATTCATGCACTTAACATATATTTAATTTTCCTTACCTGTAAAATAAGAATAATTTTACCTGTCTCACAGATGAATCAATAAAGTTCTACAGATGATATTTTTATTAAGGCCTATAACCTTCTACCCAAACTTCTCAGTAAGGCCCCTGTAACACCAACAAATCCATGATATTTGTTCTGCCTAGCTTCTGTAGATTGCCAAAAATGGAATCCTGATGACCAAGTATCAACTTTGGCAAAGTTTTTGAATATTTCAATACCAAAACTTTTAACTTTGAAATGAGGAAAATAATAATTAAATGATAGAATTACTTTATGTGTTGATAGTTTTGTTTAAAATCTTATAAACAATGCCTAGCAGATGTTGGACAGTTAGTAAACAATAATTATTGTTATTTGTGTACAGATTTCTTTTAATGTACATCTTCTTGCTAGATAGACTCATAAGAGGAGGAAACATCTTTGGGTATATGTGAGTTTATTTTATTTATGCCCCACCGCTAATTGAATGAATGGAAAGAGTATGGATTGAGCACTGTGTGATGTTCCCAATTTATTAGTGATAACAAGGGCAATGAATCCAATGGTGAAGAAAACCTTGACCCAGCTTTTCAACTTTGGAGTCAGATGTATTTAAGTAGTTGATCTTGTGTACCTGGTAATTGTGTCTATAATAAAGATTACCATTGAGGTATCATCAAAATTGACAATATATGGTTATTGAATAGCTATTATATGTGTGTAGTATTCTACATATACACTGTGTTAGGAATACACAATCCTACCACCTGACACTTAATTTCTAGGAGATTTTAATGTAAATGGAGAAAAAGTCTAGAGAAAGAAAAAAGAGCCAACAGCATACATTGTTCATATCCACAATGAGCATTCCAGATCTCAAGTTCACTGTGAAGTAAAGCACAACAGTGATGTTGCTAAAAGAGTTGGATCTTTAGGAAAAAATTAGTCTTGGACTATAAATAGGAGATAAAGGAGACATTCAGTGAATGGGCATAGCGTGATCAAAGGCAGAGACAAAGAAATTAATCAATTGTATGGAAGAAAGTATATACTCTGCCTTGTTCAGGATGAAATAATTTTAAGGAAGCATTTTAACCTGATTCTAAAAGTAGAGAAGTACATTTGATTCTGAATGGGAAAATAGTGTTACAAATCATAGGAAATATAAATAATGTTGAAAAAAAGAGATTTTGAAGTTGAATTATAGTTTTATACAAATTGACTTATAAATGATGGCATAGATGGGTCAATATTCGTGAGCTGAAAGCAGAGAGAAAAAAGGTTGAATGTTGATGAGCATTCCAGACCAGTAAGTAGCTAGGTATCTGGGCATTGCTTGTATCGGGGTGATCACAGAAGCATGGGAATTTAACCATCACAATAACCAGTCCCATTTATACTGAAAAATCAGAGGATGAAACTGAAGAAGACTAAAATTAAGAGATTCAGGAAAGCATGTTTTTTTTTGTAATAGAAACCAGAAAAGAAAGAAATCTTTAAAATTTAGCAATTTTCAAGTCTCAAATTCTTTTTAAAGAGTTATAATAATCAAATTGTAAAAAAGTGTACTGAATTTAGTAAGCAGATGGCTATTGATAGTATAAGAAGAAATGACTTCAATAGAAAGGTGCATAGGTACTTAAGTAAATTATGGTAGAAATTGAAGTATCTTTTAAAATTTATATTAGATTATGGTCTATTCTTTCAGTTTCAAATGAAGATACTATTTATGTTAAGCCATGATTAAATGTAAAGGTGGTTATAACTGTGCCAGGGATTATATGTAATACATAGAGACTGTGATTCCTCTAGTTTCCATCTAACCTTCAGCCCAGTTGGCTTTGAAAGAAAGACTGTATTTAAGTTCACTTTTACAATAGTAAACTTAAAAATTACACATTTTTTTTTATTACATACTCTTTAGGGTAGGGAGTATAGCTTAATGGTAGAGCCCTTGCCTACATACACAAGGTCACCAGAACTGCAAAATGTAAAATGTAATATAAGTATGATTTAGATTATTGTTTTAATAGCTAAAAACTTTAAATAGCCAAGTCTTCTTCTTTTGAAAGAAGGTAGTTTTATATTTTAAATATTTATTATGTTTTCATTAACTGTATCTTTTTCTGTTGTACTGCTGTATAGCTTTTGGTCATGATTATTTTTTTAAAGGGAGTACTATCAATGTAGATTTTTGAAGATGACATTGATGGTTTTTCATTTTTAGAACAATTTTAAATGAGAAAGGTATTCATGGGGTCACTTCTCAATTTCTTCCTTCTTAATATGAGATGCCAAATAAATATTTTACCCTTTAGTTGGAGCACATAACCTGGTGTGTTTTTCAATTTGGGAACCTTCTTAGTACAGGCTCTTTGACCCTGCCCTCATAACAATATCTTGGAAAGTTTCAACACAGTATTCTCTGTCCTGCTGGTTTTAGTTTTCCTTGCTCTTACAAAACAAGACCACTAGATGGAGTTAAGACCACAAGCTTTGGACTTCAATTTTATTTTATTTTTTTAAAAAGTCTTCAACGAAGAGTTCTCACAAGGTTTCAGAGGTTATAGCTTACCCACTTTTTATTAAATGGAGAGGAAGCAAGAAAAACAAAGCAGAATGGTATTTTCCATGAAACTTAACGGTAGTTAAGAATTACAATACCTTTTGGCCTTGAATTATTTTACAGTGAGCTGCTTACAAAATTAAGCTCTTTTGTCAGGATAAATATCAAGGAAAATGATTATGAATCATCGTGGCAAGTTTTAATACAGATCAGAAACTAAATTAATCCAACTCTATCTGACTCATCATGTCTTTTTCTTCAGATATAAATGAAGAGTAAACAATGTTTTGGCAATTTTTAGGTTAATCATGTGGAAC